AGCAATGGGAGACAGGAGTAGGCAGGAACAGTCCCAGCCATTTCTATCTCCACGGGTGGTCCGATGGAGAAGCATTCTGCATTCTCCATGACGACGATGCCCAGGGCCGGTTGTTTCGTTGTCACATCACGGTCCTGGTATGCGACAGATACGTGACCAATCTGGTTCCATTTTCACATTGCTATAACAAAAGACTGATCACCTATCTCTTTTCTGAAAACGATGAGATACGAGAAGCGAGTGCCGACCATGCAGCTCTATCTGAGGGTTGAAAAAAGGAAAGACCCACCCTGATGCAGTTCAGAGCTTGACGCAAGATAATGCTTTCTTTTTCCTCACTCTACCTAGGTACGAGGTGTGTCTGAAAACGAAAGAAAGAAAACCCAATGAACTTGCATGACCCAATCGCAGATGCGGCTAAACAGAGTCATAAAGTATGATTGGCGGCGTGTCGGTGGCTTTCCAGGTTTGCTTGTAACTTTCTTTTTCCTTCTTTCCTTCTTTTTTATTTTGTTCTGCGCCATCGATGGACACACACCAGATATCTTACATTTACACTGCGTGCACCGGCTGCTAGTTGCGCACGCAGGCTTTGTCCAATGTGAACTCACCATGCATGAAGAGATCGAGCCCCATTCTTTCCCAACTTTCCCAAACACACCAAACTTCTCCGTAACTCAATTCCCATCCAAGCGGAACCATCTTAACGAAGAACAGACCTCCATCTACAAGATACAATCTGGGGCACTTTAAATCGACACCAAAGAGAGCCACCACGACATGTGTCGGGATGATCCAAGTTCTTCTAAATGAACGCTCGGCTCACGAGACATTGCTGGTCCCTTGAAACCCCCAGAAACGTGCTACGCTGCTGTGCGAGCCCTGGACTTGCAGCTGGTCCTTTTCGTGGTATCGGATCCGAGACACTCTCAAAGCACCCTTTCCAATAGGTTCCCGGCGGTCGTGGGAGTCTCTGTCACACGGCGTCGTGCTTGTGTCCATCTTCAAGAAGCCGTCTGCACGTCGAGTAATGTCTGCTCTTTGTTGCTCATGTTCGGTTTTCACATTCTTCTCAGTAGCATTCACCACATCCGCGTCGGATCGACGGTATAACGACCCGCCTAGACCGTGATCCCTTCTGTACTCCGGTGTCAACCAACGCGTTTCTTCGGTTCGGACCAAAACACCGGAAGGCAGGGCTGGAGATACAAGAAAGATACAGCTCGAGGCAGAGAAAGCCCGAGAAGAACCCAAGTGCAGTCGCGCGTGGTGATTTGAGGTACCAGTGCGTACTGCCAGTCGACGGATGTAGTCCACTGTTGGATGGAATGTCACTGCGGCTCTCTCAGTACGACACGCAGTTCAGCGACTTTAATCCGCTATCTCGTGATAAGTGAGCGTCATCTGGCATCATGTGTTCTCCCATCCCAGCTTAGCCTGCGGTAGACATGGCCAAAGGGTCAATTTAAAACGAAAAGGTCCTACGGAGTAGTGATTCGTCCTCTGGGACAGGCCCGACAAAACACTATTCTGTCCCTTTGCATGGCTTGTGCTACCCACGCAGGCCTCGTTTCTCCACACCGGCTCTACCAAAAGCTTGAGAAACGATGACAACACATACGTGCACTCTGCACACTCTCACACGCTCTCACACTCACACACTCACATCCTCTTGCCCTCTTACATACCATACCCATTCCCCTCCCTGATCGTATACCCCCAGTTTAGTTGTCTCCATCTCAAGACACCGGACCCTCCTACCAACACTGTCAAAATGCGATGGGTTTCATACGGGTCAACAAAAGTGCTTGCTTATGGAAGGGGCAAGCGGAGGCAACGGAAAGGGATGGCATAATGCAGTCGAGAACTGATCGACCTCGTTCTGGTTTTCCGTTGGTTGTTTGGGTGTTGGAGGCTGAGAGCACCTCTGCATACACGATGCGGACGTTCCGCCGACAGTTGGCAGAGGGGAAAGAAAGGTGCGGCCTACTGATGTAAATCTGAAGCCGTGAGTTTTGTGTTCCTAGAATAGGTCTCAAGGGTTTGTAGCTCTATATTGACGGAGAACCTGAGGCCCGCGGTCCCCGTGGTCCCCGTCTCGGCTAGTCATTTCATTCCTTTTTTATCTTTAGCATTTGCACGGTATGCGCTCCAGTCGTATCATCTTTTTGTTTCTGAAGGCAAGAGAGCACGAAGTGACTCCGGCATATAAAAAGGGAAACAAATGAACGCAGAAATAGCGCCAATGCGTTAAATGTTTTTGTCTCACATAAAAGAACAACGAAAAGAGAAACAAAAGAGGTCTTGCAGAGCACCATAGAAACCGACTTGCGTTCGACTCCATCTCCTGTATGACTGGGACTCTTTTCTCCGCGTACATTATTTGTTTGATCTGAGATGAACAAACAGCACTACCAGACTTGCCAGGCAGCCACTCCGTCTCTTCATCCGCTAATGTACATACTTGTATACATGCATTGTTGTGACTCTCACGTTAGGCAGCAATGTTTCCTTTGCACCGCATAGACCTGTTTTTTTACTTTCTCACGTCTTAGGCACCAAATCCGCTGCTCAAAAGAAATACAACCTACGGAAGGAAGCTGAGTATGAACGTGTGTGTGTGCTTTGTCGAGAATAGTGATAAAATAAACAAAAATGCAAGGAAATATAAAGACCACAATCAAAACGTAAGCTTGCCCAGCAACTTCTCTGACGAGAATGTGAACGCCATCCAAGGCCCTGCAGAGTAGATGTTGGTTGTTGATGCTCTTCCACTCTCGGATTGACAACAAACATCACGAAATGGCCAGGCACGATGACTTTTGTACTGCAATCCGATGCCCTTTAGAGGCTGCATGTTATAATTTTTATGATTTACTAGTTGGTATCAGATGTATCGACGGCCGGACGCAGCATTTTGTCTATGCTGCACGGCCTGTCATTTTGCTGTATCTTACAAGCGTCGACGCAAAAAATGAATAAATAAAAAAAAGGAAAAAAATACCCAAGCATAACCCAGACACCACTGCTGGCAAACAGGCCAGACAGACAGACCCCGTCAAAACGACAAGTGTAAAAGTGTACATAACCGGAACGTGACAATAGGGCCGACACCTCGAGACTAAACAAACTGTTATGCCGTCGGCGGCACCACATCCTCCAGCTTGATGTCCTCCTCCTCGCCGTCCGTGTCGGTGTCGGCCGTCTCGGCGACGTATTCAGACGCCTTGACCTCGGCGGTAGCGGAACCGTCCTTGCGGTTCTCTGCCTTGAGCTCCCAGTTGTTGGCGAAGCGGCCGCTGCGGTGCAGGTCGGCGACCTTTTCGAGCGTGTGCCGCAGGTAGATTTCCGGCTGCGGGATCTCGGCGCGCAGCGCGCGCATCGACCAGAACCGGAAGCGCGCGAAGCAGTTGAAGATGAGGTCCAGCAGGTCGTTTTCGGGCATGCGCGCCGTCTTGGCCTCGACCTTTTTGACCTTGGGCGGCGGCTGCGCCGTCTTGATAAAATCGGTCGCATAGTTTTGCGAGGCAATGCCGCCGCTGCCGATGATGCGGAACTCGGGCTTGGACGCGTCGCCGAACTTGACCTGGGCCTTGGGGATCATGGCGGCGCGCGCGCGCTCGTTCAAGATCAGGTCGGACTCGGCGTTCTTGACGGGTGCGCAGTTGAGCTCGTGCCGCACGCGGCCGGCCACAGTCGTCTTTTTGGGGATGGCTTTGCGGAAGAATTCTTGGCGCGGCTGGTGGCGCCGGTAGTGGTGCCGGCCGCCGTGGTTCTGGTTCGGCTGCCCCCCGGGCTTCTCGACGCGGTCGTTGTTCTTCTGGCGCAGCAGGTGCGCCGGGATGCCGGCCGCGGCCGCCTGGGCGCGTTCCTTGTTCTTGGCCTTGAAGCCGGGCAGGTCCTGTTCGCTGAACAGGTAGGTGTTCTTGATCTGTGTGTTTTGTGCGCCGCCGGTCCCGCTGCCGGCCGCGTTGCGGTTGCCCGCCGTGTCCACCATGGGCAGGTCCAGCTCGTACTCCTTGGGGATGGCCTGGTGGCTGCCCAGGTCGCTGCGCAGCAGCATGCGCATCCGGTACCTGGGCTCGCCCGTCTTCTTGTCGACCTCGGTCCACTGCCGCACCGTCGCAATCTCAATCTCGGCGTCGTCGTCCAGCTTGTCCCACGCCTCCCATACGTAGGGCGGCACGCGCACCAGGTACATGTTGCCAAACGGGTCGCCGGGCTGTGTCGCGTCATAGAACTCGAGGTCGCCGGCGTCTTCGTAAATGTCGTCCTCGCCACCGCCAATCGCAGGGATGCTGGCCAGGCCGCCGTCGTCGGCATCGACGTCCATCTTGATCGGGAGGGAGGACACCTCCTGTTTTACTGTCGCGTCGTCGGCCATCGTGTCGGGCTGGGAGAGGGAATGTGAATGTGACGTGGAGGAGAGGAGAGATGGGAGGCGGTCGACGAGCGTCCGGCAGACGAAACAAAACCGCAGCCGACCGGTCGAACAAACGCTGCGTCAAATCAATTCTCGCCGGGCGTCTCCTAAATCGTACCAGAGTCGTGTTGGTCGAGAGCTGGGGCGCTGCTTTCGGAAGACGCGCCTGAGATCTGTCAATGCGAGTGAACAAAGAGGTGAGGCTGCTGAGAGCAAGCAGTTGTGGTGCTTTGGCCAGAAACGGCATTTGGGTGGGCCGCCAGTGTCGTCGCTTGGAGCTTAGGCCCAGCTGTCGTTTAGCGCCTTTCTTCTGCCTGGTGGTCACGTGCGAATACGCGCTTCGTCGTTGGCTGCCTTGCACTGTCATTGGCTGCTCAGTTTGCCACCGACTCCACCCTGGGCGCCTGCACTTTATCTCTTCTGACGTGCATTTCATCAGCGAGGCTATTTGTGTATTTTGTTCCTCTTTCATCACACAAATAGTGCAACTATTTGACGTGCATATTTACTTCCGCCGCAACAGCGTGCATCCTGTTATTATTTCGTATTCATCTGTTTTCCCTTGTCTTTTCATATTATGACTTCAGAAGACCAGGAATTGTTGGCTCGCATCAGCCAGTTGGCAGGTAAGAAGAAAGCCTTTTCTCAACTTCATCGTTCTCACAGCAGCTAACAGTCATACAGGCCACATCAACCGCCACAAGAATCAACAGGCCGGCATCTCCTCGGTGCCCTCGTCTCCTTACAACAACTACAGCACCCCGCCCTCATCATCGACGCACCATGCACCATCGTACAGACGCCAACCATATGCCTTACGAGGACGCGGTTTCGGTAGCGGCGGTTATCGAGTCAATAGGCCAGCGCCGTACCGAAATCGAACGCTCGTCCTGAACGGCTCCGGCGCCCCGAGCAGGTCCGACGGGGCCGAGAACGGCGATTCGACGGCCGCTTCGGACAGTGGCAGTGGCAGCGGCGGCCCATCCACGACGTGGGTTGCCCGGAACGACCGCCATATGCAGCTCATCAACGCGGATGTATACGAGAAGGATGCCCAGTCACGGGCCCGTGCCATTGAGAAGACGCGAGTTGAGGGCCAAAAGATGCGCGACGCCCGCGAACGGGCCAAGCTCCGAAGGCATTTTTCGCATCTCGCCCACGGACGGCCGACGGCCAGCAACGGCAACGGCAGCCGAAGCGGAAGCACTACACCACAGTCCTACCAGGTTGTGATTGAAGGCATCCCGTTTGCCGTGGCCAAGAACGGCAGCAAGCTCATGAAACTACCCAGTGCGTCGGCCTTGCTCCCGCTGTCCCCGCCTCGCTCACCTGGCTGTGACTTTTATGAAGACTCTGCTCACCCGTCGTTAGCCGACCCGCACCCGGCGTCCAGCACGCCCAAGACGGCCGTTGTTGGCGGTGTCAAGTTCTACCGCAGCAAAAACGGCAACCTCTACCGCCACGGCGTGGTCAAGGCCCAGCAACGGTATGTGCCTCGCGGCCTAGGTAACGGTGTGGCGCTGACCAGTGGATGTTCCTCCTTCTCTAGGCGCGGAGGCAGCACGATCAAGAAGACGGACGAGCCCTGTAGGGCGTTCTCCACGACCGGTATATTCAGACCCAACCCCAATGCTCCCCTCCTTTACGGCGACGGCTTTCGAAGACGGCACCTCGTATCATTCGGATCGGAAGCCTTCCAAGCTTTATTCGTCCCCTCCCCCCTCACATTCCCCGTTTTCGATTGACTAACCATGCGTCTTGTACTTTGCGCTCGGCGTTGCCGTCTCCGGACGTCTCTGCTCTTGCACACTGCATTTCTTGTACTTTTCTTTTCCCCCATCTCTAGGTTCATGCTCCAAAGGACCCAGCTGCCGGTTCCTGCACAACGCAGCCAAGGTGGCCGCGTGCAAGGATTTCCTGCTCAAGGGCGACTGCGCCCGCGGCAGCGACTGCGACCTGTCGCACGATCTGACCCCTGAACGCACGCCGTTCTGCGTGCACTTTGCCAAAGGCAACTGCACAAACCCCCACTGCTCCTATACTCACTCGCAGGTTTCGTCGGGCGCGCCAGTGTGCCGGCCCTTTGGTCTCTACGGCTACTGCGACCGCGGCGCCGACTGCACGGCGCGCCATGTGTTTGAATGCCCCGACTTTAGCAACACGGGCGTCTGCAAAATCAAGGGCTGCAAGCTGCCGCACCGCGAGCGGGCCAGCTTTATGCGGCGGACCATCGAGACGGCCGACAAGTCGGAGACCACCGACAGCGACAGCGCGTACGTCGACGTGTCGAGCGACGACGAGTCGGTGAACAGCGACGATGTTGACTCGGACGAGGTCGACGAGTTTGTCGGCGCCGACGGCGACGAGGCCGACCTCGACTTTGTGACCCAGAAAGACTACATTGAGATTTGAGGCATTGTAGACTCCCCCGTTCCGCCTTTCTCTCCTGCCCCCTCCCTACGACCATTGCGTTTTGTTGCGTCGTCCTTTTTGTTTTCTTTTGTTTCACTGTTTTCTCTGCGTTCTTGCATTGTAGTGCGTCGTCTCCGTTTCCCATGCTCGTGGTTGGAAAGGGGATGAACAGCATAACGTGCATCTGCATTGAGACGATACCCAGCATTGGCAGCGGTTGCTTCTGTTTTTGTTTTCGGTTTCGTGTGCACACCGCACACACGCATGGCGGCTTGCCTGTCCTAACGGACCTCATCATACGTATCTTACTTTGTGCTGGGTTCACCGGAGTATGGAAAAATCATAAAAATACTATGGCTCGAGAAAAAATATATATTGCAAGGAAGAGCCCTAGGATAGGACGGAGGATAATGGATGAATAAAATAAAATAAGAACGTTGAGAAACTGAAAGACAGCCGTAGTTATAGAAAGTGAACATGAGTGTGAAGTCGGGACGGAACAGTCTATTCTACACGACATACGACTTGTTTGTAGACGCCCAAATGCAATCTGGACATTTTTGCGGAGCGGCCACATTAGTGTGTGGTTCTACTTCGTACAACGGATGGTGCTGGCATCGGCTATCAAGTCCGGAATCGGTACCCCGCCAAAGTTTGACTGCCGTAGTGCGAGTTAGGTCTGAAGCCAGGCCGCTAGAGCTCAGGAGCTCTACTAGGCAGTCCAAAGCGGACTTTTGCCTCTGGCGCCGTAAACTAGCCTGCCATGAATCGTTCTATTTTCTTTTTTCCATATGATCCCACTACTGACCACTCTGCACATCGGCGACGCCTTGCCATTGACGAGTGACACGCCCTGTTCGCGACCAGATTGCACCAGCTACACTATTGATACAAGAATTGCCTATTTCCACCATCCTTTGTAGGATTTAGAATCCCCGTCTTGAACGTCAAACTCGATTCCTCCCATAGAACGATTACAAGAGAGCCTGCACAGTCCCATCCGCTTCGAATCTCGACAGTTCCCTACCCCTCCAACAATATGGTCGCTGCAAGAAAGGGCCCCGACGGCCTGGCCGCCGCGTTCGAGCCGCTCACGCTGTCCAGCGCCACCCGGGCCGTCCACGCGGACGACTACGTCAACTCCCACCGTGCCGTCGCCCCGCCCATGCACGTGTCCACCACCTTCCGGTATTCCGACGACCCGGACGCCCTGCACATGTGGGACAACACCGACCCGGCCGCCCCCTACGACTCGCACATCTATTCGCGCGAATCGGCGCCCAACACCACGCGCCTCGAGGCCATCCTGTCCGACCTCATCGGGCACCCGACCCTGACCTATGCGTCCGGCATGGCCGCCTTCCACGCCCTCGTCGTGTTCCTCAACCCGCGCCGCGTCGCTATTGGCGCCGGCTACCACGGCTGCCACGGCGTGCTGGACATTATGAAGAAGCTCAACGGCCTCGAGAAGCTGGACCTGCTCAACGACGACGACCTCGCCAAGCTGCAGCCCGGCGACGTCGTGCACGTCGAGACGCCGCTCAACCCGACGGGCGAGGCGCGCGACCTGGCGCACTACGCCCAGCTGGCCCGCGCCAAGAAGTGCTACCTGACCGTCGACGCCACCTTTGCGCCGCCGCCGCTGCTGGATCCGTTCCGGTGGGGCGCCGACATTGTCATGCACTCGGGCAGCAAGTACTTTGGCGGGCACTCGGACATGCTGTGCGGCGTGCTGGCGGTCCACAAAAAGTACGTCAAGGACCCGGCCGCGCGCGCGGCCGACCAGAACTGGCTGGCAGCGCTGCAGGACGAGCGCCTCGTCATCGGCGGCGTCATGGGCAGCCTCGAGGGCTGGCTGGGCGTGCGCAGCCTGCGCACGCTGGCGCTGCGCGTCGAGCGGCAGGCGAGCAACGCGGCCGCGCTGGTGGCATGGCTGGCCGCGGAGCACAAGACGGCGGGCAGCGTCGTGGTCCAGGTCGTCGAGCGCATCCACCACGCGAGCCTGCAGCCCGAGGCCGCCGACCCGGGCTCGTGGCTCAACCAGCAGATGCCGCACGGGTTCGGGCCCGTGTTCAGCCTCGTGCTGCGCGAGGAGGCGCTGGCCCGCCGCCTGCCGAGCAAGCTGGCGCTGTTCCACCACGCGACGAGCCTCGGCGGCGTCGAGAGTCTGATTGAGTGGCGCGCCATGTCGGACCCGCACATCGACAAGCGGCTGCTGCGTCTGAGCATCGGTGTCGAGGGCTGGGAAGACATCAAGGCCGACTTGGCGCGTGCCTTTACCGAGCTGGTGGCCGAGGCCAAACAGGCGTAGTCGCGGCCCGCCCTTGTCCTTGTCTTCTCCTTCACCAGAGGTTCAACCCACGTCGTTTCACCAAAGTTTGTCACCCGACATGTAGTGTATTAGAATGCCGTATTAGATTTTCGTTTTAGTCCCCCTCTTTGCCTGCTTTCAGAAGCTCCGTGACCGTGACAAATTGATAACCCTGCTTGATGGCCGCCGGCAGCATCTTGTGCAGCATGGGTGCCGTCCACGATCGCCGGTCGTGGCAGATGACAATGGCGCCCGGCTTCAGCATGCTCAGAATGTGCCGCGCGTTGAGCCATGGGTAGTTGATCTGTGCGTCGTGCGGGTACACCCCCCCCAGCACCAGCTTGTAGCCCAGCTGTGCAACGAGTGAACGCATGCGGTCGCTGAAGAAGCCAGAGCCGGGCCGGTAGTACCGTGGTGGCTTGGTCTGGGCCAGTTCCGTATTGGTCGCCCCGCCGTGCCGGCCTTCCCGCACCGAGTCGTACACTTGCTGGAGCATCGCGTCGACCTCGGCAATCTGGGCTTGGAGCGCGCCGTCCGTCAGCGACCGCGCCGGCTCGTCGTGCATGCCATGGTTGGCCAGCTCGTGCCCGCCGAGCGCCAGCGCCTCGCGCAGCACGCTCTGCCGGCCCGGCACCTGCCCGCCAATGACAAAGAACGTGGCGTGGGCGTCGTACTGGCGCAGCACCTCCAGGATGCCGCGCGTGTGCTCCGAGGGGGCGTCGTCAATGGTGAGCGCGACGAGCTTGCGCTGGGCCGGCCGCTCGGACGGGTCGCCGGACGTGACAAGCACCGGCAGGTCGACGCGCCAAAGCACGTCGGGCCAGCGGCTGACAAAGTAGCTGATGAGTGGCCGGGGTGGCTTGTAGATGATGTAGAAGGGCACGAGCAGCAGGCCGACGAGGGCCAAGAGGGCCAAGAGCGTGGCCATGCGTTGCCGCCGTGCGCGCCGGCGCAGCTTGGGCGGTAGGCGCAGGAGGTGTGGGAAACGGGGCATGAAGGGTGGCGGCAATGAAAGGGGGGCGGCGAGCGTGCAGTGTTGGCCTCCAAGTGCAGAGGGCTGTGAAAAGGGGGGTGAGTCGGCGAGAAGTCGATCCCGTGATCGCAATGTCGCTGAGACACGGAAGGTGCGACGAGCCGTGAAAGTGAAGTGGGCAAGTGAGATGAAATTGATATTGGGGAAAGAGCAGATGTGCCGAGTACGCGTCGTATCGATTGGGGGAGTGCTACCGCGAAGGTGGTTGCCGTTTTGGGCTTGGAACTGTCGCTGCTCGCTAGGTCTGGCCTCTTCCACTCTTCCAGGCCTGAACTTCGCCTAGCACAATTTCATGTGCACACGGAAGCAGCCGCTGGCTGGCCCGCTTTTATCTCAGGAGGTGGCTTCTAATGCTTCGAGAATCAACGTATCAATAACGATGAGATGAAATTATTGACAACGTTTCTTTTCCTTCTCGTGCATATTTCTTTGGAGCGCAACTTCACCACTTGTACTACAAGTCTGAAGGAAGACATTCACAAAAGAAGCCGGCGGGTAGTTCGAAGGACATGTTATTGACAATCTTGCACAAAGCTGAGGTCTGGCTGCGTGCTTTCCCTCATACTACAATGAGGTGTCTTTCACAACAGGACACAACTTTACCCTATGATTTTCTCTCTGAGCTCCCATTTCCTTCGACACCGTCACTTTGGGACTTGAGATGCCTTTTTGGGACATGTATGGCGGGTGGTTATTTTGCTGTTCATCTGCTCAGTTCAAGCCACGGATGGATGCGCAAATTTAGACGACCAGACCAACCAGTTCGGGCGACGGATGACATTCATTGTTTAAACAAAGACTTGCATATATAGTAGGCTGACAACGACTGTGATGCAAGGGAGTACCGCCTCCACGGAATACGGGCTCAGGGAACCGGAGAGAGAATCACGGTTTCGCGCAAGGCTTGGACCGACCATCTCTTCGTAATCCGCGCCGATCTGCAGTCGCATTCGAGAGGACCCGAAGATAAGGCACCCGGAGCCCGGAGTCTTTGCATTCTCCATTCCAAGAGCACCTGTGTTCGGTTGTTGCTTTGTGGCTCAATTTGCTCCTGTCTTTCACTTGGCCGTTTCGTGTGGCGCGCGGCTGCACACTGGCAGCCTCACTTGGCGCTAATGAATATGAGAGCAAAATGGGTTCTACCTGGCACCTGACAGAGGAGTGAGTTAAAAATGGCAGCAACCGGGGCTGAGCCCAGGGGCGGTGCGCAGCGCCCCAGCGGCCCTGGCCACAGACTCTGACACGACTCTCTGCTAATTATTCTACCCCTCTCCCCTGAGCCCAACCTCCAAGGTCCGACCCCTCACCACACAGCTAGTTGATGTAGGTGTGCGGCCAGGCCAAGGCCAAGCCTTGTAAGCTGGCGACAATGAACATGGACGATGGAAAGCGTCATAAATGGTGAGAGAAACAGCTGGGCAGGAGTAAACGGCGTTCTGTAATTATAACTTTCGTCAATGGAAGGAGCAAACCAATGTCGACAACTTGAAGGGAAGGAGTCCCCTGAGAAGGAGTCCCTTGAGACTTAATAGAAATAGGGAAGGAGCCAAGGACAGAGCTGGTCAAAAGCGTCAGAAAGGCCCAGAAAAACCGGAAGCAAACTGCAGGAACGACCAACGTGCGCAAGCTCGTGTCTTCATGTCCATTGCAGCTTGG